TCCTGAGATTTGATTTTCACCCAGGTGTCATCCACATATCTGAACCAATGGCTTGGTGGTGTTCCAGGGTAGGACAGCAAAGTCCTCTTTTCCACTTCTTCCATGTACAAATTGGCCACGATGGGTGAAACTGGGGAGCCCACGGCACACCCATGTTTCTGCCTGTAGAACTGACCCTTGTATGTGAAGTAGGTGGAATGAAGACACAGTTCCAAAAGCAAACACACTTGGTGGATGCTGAGAGTGGTCTTGTTGCTGAGGTTGGTGTCATCCTGTAATCTCTTACGGACTACCTCCAGCGCTTTCGTGACTGGGATGCAAGTGAAGAGAGATGTAACGTCGTACGAGACCATGGTTTCATCTGCCTCCATAATGACATCTCTCACCTTCTCAACAAAATCCAAGGTTGTGGTGTTCAGAGCTGCCCACCAGCGGGTTGAGGATCGAAGCCAGAAACTTAGAGATGTTATAGGTTACCGAGTTGATCATGCAGACGATCGGTCTTAAAGGTGCACCCTGTTTATGTATTTTCGGTAAACCATACAGACTTGGTGTAGACTCCCCTGGGTACAGCCTGTGGTATGAGGTCCGGTCAATAACTGCTTCAGACAGTCTATCACCCTCTTCCTGTAGCCACTTCCTGGGTCTTGTTTTAGGGGCTCGTAAGTATTTTCATCACTAAGTAGTGACAAAATCTTCTCATGATAGTCTTTCTGGTTTAGCAATACTGTGCACCGACCCTTGTCTGCCAGAAGGATGATAATGTTGTTGTCATCACTAAGTGATGTGAGTGCCTTCCTCTCCTCCATGGTGATGTTGGATACTGGGGCCTTTGCATTGCTGAGACAGGCCGAAACTTTCGTCCGTAGTTGCTCTGCTTCCACTTCTGCTCTACTTTAAGAAGACTGAAATGTCAATGTGTTTCTTTAAAACTTGGTAGGTCTGGAATTCAGACATATAAACCAAATGTATGTGTGTGTGTTGTCATGCAAAGGTAAGATTTAGTTTCTTTCATCTACGGGGGCCACTGCAGGATTTATGATCTGTCCAAACTGCATGTCAGATGGTCTGCTACCATCAGAAGCCCCCTAAGCCAGCACCACTCTGAGGTCAGATAAGGGGTGTCTGTGTCACACATTATCTGTCACTTTTGGAGATCAACAATCTGACATTCACATCCACTTCAAACTGTGATCAGCCACTGCGTAGAGCCCAGGTTTGTACTTCTTTTACAACCTTGTATATCGACTTCCCCTCCTTCAAAATGCAACACCAACGTCAATGTCTCTGTGGAGGAAATGTCTGGAGCAATGCGCCATCTCATCACCATTTTTCTAGCGATCCACCAGTAATTTCTTAGAATTCTTTGAGTTCATATCCTGAATGTAAAAAAAACGAGTGAACAGGACTACTTGGGCATAGAATCGACAATTTTCTGTTTCGAATGTAGTGAAAATTTCCTCCATCTTTCACCCTGCAAATGGCTAATTCTTACTAATGCTACATTTATTTTGTCCGTGGCACCTGTGGAGGTGCTTTATGGTTATGATCCTGGACGAGCCATTCATACAGTGAAAAATATTATTAAAAAAGGCCGATGGTATGCTTTGGAGCAGTGGAAGAGCTTTGGGTGGTTTATCACCCTGTCTCCTTGCCCACAGTGCTTTTTCAAATGGCCTGTTTGCCACACTGTTTCTGGTAATTCTTGTTGATCCCTGAGGTGGTTTCTCGTGTTATTTCTCACCTGTTCTTTGTGGTACTCATATTTTACTCATATTATCCAATCTGCTGGTAATCTTTCTGGGTCTGCTTGTGTTACCTCTGTTCTCAGTTCAGTTTTTGTTTTTACTTTTAGACAATATAATCAAACTATGGAGAGCTGATGGAGCATTTCTACTTGTGAAAAGATGTAATTTGTGATTCAAATAAACATTTGACCTTTTCTCTGAACTCATTTTACATCTCTTCTTTGTAGTTTCTCTAAGCTAAAAAAGAGCAAGGTAAAAATAGTGGAGTGTAAAGCCATTTATACTGAGGTTCACACAGCAGCTAAGCAGAGTGGCTACAGGTATAGATTATTCTTTAGGTTTGACAGTCAAACTGAGATCATTGCTGCTTATACCGTTATATTCTATGAAATAATGAGTATAATTTGGTGATACTTTAGCTGTTTAGCTACTAATTTGTCGAGTGTATCCTGAAATCCAAGTTATCAATCTGTGCGGTACAACTGAAACACATTTTTGCCTTTTTGGAAGCAAAAACTCAACAAAACTATATGTTTTGTTTTTATTGGGGTATCAAATCTTTCCCATTTTAAATCTGAAGTCACACCACTCACCGTTCAATCCCAATCGATTTCAATGTGTAAGCAAAGAGACTAGTTCGACTGCCTTAGATCAAAATAATAAGAATTGATTTAATTTAAGTTGCAGTTTCAGTGTATGCCTTTAATTTGTGATTACAGTGTCACATAACAATTCCAGACGGGCCTAATGTCTTACTGCAACCTCTGTCTGCTTTGATCAGAGGGGAAGCCAGAGGGGACAGCGACACAGAGGAAAATCTTTAATGATACATGTAGCTGCCACCTTAATCAGTCACAGCTAACACAGTGCTGACCAGAGCACCAGCATTTACAAGGTCAGTCAATTGCAAGTGATTGGCACTCACAGCGTTTACCTTGAGACAGAGGAGGGTGGGGAGGGGGTAAGCGGGATAAACAGAGTAAGATGTCACGGAAAAGAGACGGACTGATTGAGCTGTGTTGACAGGGAAACGGCGTGATCGCTTACCTCTCGCCACTGTTTGGTCTCTACGCCCTGGGTGTACAACACAACCACTGAGAAGTGATGAAGAAGGATGAGATAGCAGCGAAGAGAGAGGAAAAATGCAAAACAGAAGAATACGTCACCAAACAATCTCAATCAAGAATCCTGCCTCTTCAAATTATGTTTGTTTTGTTCCTTCTTTGCTGACATTCATGATTAATTATCTTGCCACGCCCTGACAACATAATGAACTGCCAAGCTTGATGGTTCTAGGTATGCTGTCCACAATCAAAAGGGAAAATCAAGATAGAGAGCCCCTGAACACAGCGACACCCATGCAATCAAAACACAATTTCTTCATTGTGGGATTCTCCTGATTCCCATTAGATCTGGCGACTTTAAATGAAGCTGGGGCGGGTGAATACCACATGACCTGTCATATATACCGAGGTTCAGCTTCAGGCGAATACAAAACAGGGTGTCAGCGCTATTTTCCCAGTAGCTTATTTACACAAAGGGCTTTTACCTCCTCCCTATTATGTTAAATGTCTCCCCCTCCATTCTCTATCCTGCAGGGAGTATCAAAGAAAATGCCTTTATGGCGTTTCCCCATGTGTCTCACCAAAAGATAGCCATTTGTATTCAAAGGCTGGCGTTTACACCCTGCATGCATTAAGGTACTTTAGCTCTCAGCAAGGAAAGGTTGTCACATTATTGTGCAAATGATATGCAGTTATTGAAGGAACACTTTGAAACAGCGCAGTAAACTGAATCAAAGTTAAGCTCAGCAAAAATAAAAAGTGAAGCTTTGTAAATGGAGACGAGGTGTCAGCGAACCATATTCTGAGCAAAATCTCCCGCAGGAAAATCTGAGCTGCAATTATCATCGTAAAAGCTGAGAACTTACAAGGGTCAGATTTGGAGAAAGTGTCTCGGTCCAACAGATTCCTGTAAGAGAAGAAAAGAGTTGCACATCAAAATGTGAAAACAGAGTCCTGCATGTGTGTGTGTATATGCAATTTCCGTTTAAGACTGCAGGGCAACAGCTGTACACAATACACAAATGCTTCTTCTTTCATGCTGTGAAATCACTGAATGCCATATGCAAAGAGCTACAACATAATTGCACGGTAATTCAACAACCATACTCAACTTCACACAAACCACAACGCCCCGTGGGATATCATTTCCATGTGAGCACAATAAAGTGCAGTGGAAAGAGACAGTGGTAACAGGCAGAGGTGCCTTTCAAAGTATGGACACTACCTATAAAAGCAGCCTGCCTCTACAGTGCGCTCAGAAACTGCAAATCCTTTTAAGAATATGTAATCCTTAAATAAAAAAAATGCAGAAATGTGAGTTAAACAACAACATTTTTTTAAAACACCTGAAGATAGAATAGCATACATTAAATGTCAGATTTCTTTTATTCGTGTAAGTTTAGTAGATAACTGTAAATCTAAAAATGATGCAAAAAACAAGTGGCATAAAAAAAAGCTCAAGAAACAGATAAACAGTTCAAACTAGGCATATTTATGGCTGGGTAATGTATTTAATTGTACACTCAATCACAGATTTAACTTTCAAAGATTATTAAAATAAGATAATCAAGTTTCACAATAATTTGCTTCTTTTTGTCTCGTTTTAGAAATCCTGTTCATCTTCCCCTTCACAATTGTGCCTGCACCCATTCCTATAAAAAAAAAGCCCTGGAGAGCAGGCATTTTTAGCTCCGCTCAAACCCGAAGGACAAAAAGACAGTCTTTGAGCAATGGGAGAGGATAAAACAGCTGCTCGGAAACATTTTGGCTCCAAGTAATCTGAAAAGTAGATGCGGACACAAAAAATTGTCAGGGCTCTGTGTGCGGGCAGGCGGAGAGGAGGATCCAAACGCAGGACTCGAACACTGAATAGTAACTCAAAAAAAAAAAAACCTCAGCTTTATTCACTGGCAGAAAACAAAACAAACTTAGCAACAGTACTGAATACAAAAACACACAGGTACAAGCCAAAGGTACAACACGACACCGAGCACGGGAAAACACAAGGCTTATATACACAGGGTGGTAATGAGGGAATGGGCAACAGGAGGGAGACACAGCTGGGAGAGATCAGGGCTAACGAGACAGGGGGAGCAAAGCTGCACACACTAACATAAGACAAAGACTTTCACAATAAAACAGGAAACATGAATCACTACTCAAAGACACGGACTCAACACAGAGAGGCAGACAGAAAATAATACATGAAACTCAAACAATACATGAGACAACAAATCCTGACCACGAATAAACAGAAAGATAGAATTCTAATAATAATGGACAAAGCACAAGAGGAACAAAACGATCATTCAAAAAATAAACCAAAACATAATAAACTCAAAATGCTGGGTCGAACCGACCCAGAACCGTGACAAGAATAATACAATTTGTGCTCAAAGTTCAAATAATGCCTGATGTTTTAAAAGTTAATAGATAATCATGTTAAATAATCCAGATCTCAGCACTGACCAAAGTAATCATGATCACAGCTTCTCTTTAGCACCCATGTACAAACCAATGAGCAGCCTTTATTGACACTGAGCACAGCACCCAGCTTTCCTCATATGTACATGACAACGCAGAGGAGAGAGTGTGGCAATTAACAAGTTAGCAGCTCTGTCGCAGCAACAGAGTGAATGTAAGGTGTCCAAGTGACTCAGGCCAGGAACCAACAAGCTACAAAACAGACTACATATGAGAATTTATTTAACCATTCAAACCAATATCATTAGACTGAATGAGTCCATCACTATCTGGTGGCCTGTAGCATTTTGCACAAGCTAAACTCTCTAAATAAAGCATTCACGCTTTCGTGAAAGATCTATCCAGTTTGCTAACACCGATCATCATCATCTGGCACCTTTTCAAGCAGCCACGCACCCTGATTGGCTTATTGACTCAATCCACATAAGAGGCGCAATCAGCAATAATATTATTCATGTCATCCTTATTTTAAGCTAAAACCCTGAACATTTTCCCTTAATATGTTCCCTCTGTGCAAATTCTAATAAGGTAGGCATCACCTTTACAACATAAAGCAATGCTATCATCATTTACCATTTTAGATGGAAGACATGTTCCCAATGTTTTCAGGGATCTCATTAGCATATCTGTAAAGTGCAAAAGCTTGTGCCGCTAAATAACTTGATCGCAATTCAGAAAAGTCCTCTTCCCTTCAGGGGACAGCAGAATTTCAATGAATATAGATGAGGGTTCAGGACTGAATCCAAGCAGCAGGGCATCGTTCGTGTACATGTAATTCCCCATTCCTGGATACAAAATCTTCTGTGACAGGGAAACGTGGGGAAATGACAGATGCGGTGTTATTGGGTATTAGCCTTGGGCTGACCTGACTACAGTTGGACGATTGTCAGTGCAATTATCATTGGAAGTAACAAAGCCATCCATGACTAACCGCCTCTTTGTATCCACCTGTTACTGTCTGGCATCCATTACCCTCAAACAATTAGCTTGTCCATCACCTTATCCCTGCTCTCAGAGCAGACAAGAGTGGAAAACATGACATCCTCTTTTAGTTTTGCTCCATGTTCCTGTAGAGCACAAGCCTTCGTTTACCTGGCTAAACCTTAATTTGTTTTTGCCGAACATTTTTATTCCAGAAAGAAATGATTAGTATACAGATTTATACGCCTGTACAAATTAATCCAGGAGCTTAATGTGCGCATGGCCAGAGTGTGTGCATCAGTGCCGTAGGACGGGTATTAACATCTCAGATAATCCGTCTGCTTTCACTGAAGTAACGCTGCCTATTTCAAAAGTTAACTCCTTCTCTTTGCAAATCTCAGTGGGATAAGAGAAGATCATTATCCCGAAAGCCGATGTAGGAAAAGTTTGTTGATGAAGATGAAGTTCATTGAAAGTAGGACAAAAGTAATTAGATACAGCTATTTTTCATTCACACCATTTCATGTATCCGCCTGCTTTCAGATCCCAGCGCTTTTGTGATCACTATGGCCATCTCATTTAAAAAACATGTAACGAAAACAGCAAACTCTCCTTTTTTCTCTATTGCTCTTGATCCCGTCACCTTCATTAAAACTTTGATTGCAATAATCTCTTCTTTCTTACTTAAGCTTTTCATATTTTAGTGCGCCTGGAGTAAGAGTCAGCAGTGCATTATTAGATGTTTAACAAGAATAAATTCAATTTCGCTGGAGAAAAAAGCAGAATATAATCTTAATAGCTTTCTTTTCTCTGCCTAATCATCCCTCACAAAGTGATGTTTGTTTATTCGGCAGTGAATTAAGCTCATAGTTATTGGTTATGCACACTTCAGTTGATAAATACAATAAGCCACAACCAGGAATTTCTGTAAACGCTGAATTAGCATCGGCCCAGAAATGCACGAGCTCTTAAATCAAATCTGCAAACTCTCTCTGCTGGTATAAATGTGTCAAAAGGCGCTGTAGTTGATAAATGGTTTCACTGAATGCCCAGTGTGAAGGAGATTTGACCTCTAAAGCATGGCTGGCTGCTGAACTCTAATTAAAAAAGAATATATTAGGAAAACGCTCCCTCTCAGTCAGATCCCTGGAGATATTTTAGCAACTCCATGGTCCAAGGGGCTGATTATTAAACTAAGAAATGTGGAATTTAATTCCCGTGCCCACAGTGCCTTATTGTCACCAGTCCCTTAAGTCTCCTCTGCTTCCTTAAAGTTGTCAAAGTCCTAATTGGCAAGTTGGAGAAATGGTATCTAATTCAGTGGAAAGTGGTTTAAAATTGTCCTGAATCTAACTGGCCAATGAGCTGCTGCCTCATTGGTTTTTACGAGGACATGACAAATGAGAGCCTGAAAGTCAAGTAAGACTGATTTACAGGAAGAAAACTCTCCATAATACATAAGAGACGGCGGAGAAAGCCGGGAGGTCAAACAGAAGGATGGTTTGCATTTCAAGTCTTCTCTGTCACTTCACTTTCTATTCTGCCTCATGGCTCTCTCTCTCTTTTGACAGACGACAGACCTCGCCTTTTCCATTACGGATCATGGGGTCCGTGGGACTATTTCCTGTCTAACATGCCCTTGAGCAGATGTAAAGGGTCAAAAGGTCAAAGAACAAAAAGGGGAACGTATATAGTGCTACAAAGAAGAGGAATCCCATTATGTACAGTGAAATATTCAGCTTTTCCTTAAGGGTAATTAATTTTTTATAGCGCAAAAATTATGTATAGCATACCATATAGCAAAGCTCATCAGATAGCATGCATACAAAGGAGAACCTTCTCTGAGATTTAAGCAGAAACAAAAATGAAAACACAGCAGATGAAAATGTATGTGTGGCTTTGTTTTGCTGCATTTTGTCTGTATTTGGAGTCACGATCAGCGATACAGGTTAATGTTGCTTTTGTCGAGAGCTCTAAAACCTCCCCTCTGTTACATTAGACACACAATCTGGTCTCCTTATTAGTGAAACGCACATCTGCTGTCTTTCACTGTGATGGCACCAGGTGTCTTCTTTTCCTCCATCTGTTTAATTATTCAGTTTCTGCCTCGAATCTCTCCAGGTCGACAGTACCTGCAGCAGAGCACTCCCTGGGCAGCCATCTCACAGGCAGTGACAGGATCTCAGTCATAAACCTGCTCTTCTGCTCGTGTAATAAATGAGAAAGCACATACGCTGCAAATCCCTGTATCAGGTTGGCTTTTGCCATGTTGCTAATGTCCGATCTGGGAATAATAACGTTGCTAATTGCATACTGTGACAGCCCAGGGTTTGTGCAGAGAAAGATTCCTTTTACAAGAAGGGGAGGGAAATACAGACTGATATTATAGGGCTTATAACTCTTGGCAAAGCTCTTTGCACTGAGTCTAGTGTGAACTTGCGGCAATCCAAAAAAAGCACCAAGCTGCAGGCATACACTATCCAAATCAGCTACAAAATGGCA